TGCACACAGCGGCACAGGTGCTGAGGGACTGGGAATGGAATGGGAATGAGCATGGGAATGGGAACGGGATGGGAACGGGAATGGGGCGGGCATGGTGCGCGCACCCAGCAGCGCAGGGGCTGAGCTGAATTCCTGCAGCCCCGACGGCTGCACCCTGCGAGCAGGGAACGCAAAGCGCTGCGTTTTGGGAGCAGCGAGCCGAGCAGCTCCGAGTCACAGCGGGGCCAACAACGCCAGCGCTGCTCCGCGCTTTGCAAACCCCAGTCGGCGTGGTGAGCCGTGCCCGCCCCGCTCCTCCTGCCGCTCAGTTCGCTCTTCTTACTGATCGATTTTCTTTTTTGGGGGGAGATGCATTTGCTCCTGACATCTAGCGGTGCCTCTTTGCAGAGCGCTGAGTCACTCGTGTCCGGTGCAGGAGTCGCTGCCCTCGGGCTGCAGCGGCGCAGCTCCGCTTTCGGGGTCGCAGAGGCGGTTGGTGGGATGGGGTTGGTGCATGGCAGGGAGCTCTGATGAGCGGTTGGGGCTGCAGCAGCTCCTGGTGTGCGGTTTGCGAGGCTCTGCGAGGGTGTGGGGGTGAAGGTGGTGTTGCAGCCCCGCAGAACTTCACCTTGCAGAGCAAAAGGCGAACTGTGGATGCTTTCCCCAGGTGCCCGCTGCTCCCCTCCCGTCCCACTGCATGGCAGCATTAACCACGTCCCTTCCTTCTCTCCACAGTTGTGAAGGAGCCCTGAGCCCGAGCTCACCCACGCCGATGCCATGGAGGGGGCTCTGCCCACGCTCCCCCCAGGTAAGACTTGGGGCAGGGGCTGAGCATTGGGGTTTGTGCTTTGTTAGAGGTCTTCTCCAACCTTAACGACTCCATGACCTGAATGACCAGCCGTGGTGGGATGGGTTGGGGTCGGATTTGACCTTGGAGGTGTTGTCCCCCATCTGAATGATGAGTGGGCACGGTGGGGTGGGTCGGCAGTTGGCAGGGGAAGGGGTCACCATCCCCATTGAAAGAGGGGAATCAGAGCTGCAGGGATGTGGGGATGCATTTGGGTGGGAGGGGGTGATCTCAGAGGTCTCATCCAACCCGATTGGAACCATTCTGCCATTCCACGAGAAGAGCTGACAACGCCGGGGCTGAAGAAATCTCACCCCCCAGCTCCCCACGAAGCAGCCAACACTGCCGTCATCGCAGGTAGGGGCTGCCCACCACCCCCAGTGCTCCCCATACACTGCACGGGGCTGAACGCCGCTCCTCTCCTCTCCTCCCATCAGTGGTCATCACGCTGGTGTTCCTCACCCTGCTGACGGTGCTGGTGGTCATCGTCATCTACCTGTACAGAAACAAGGGCAGCTACCTCACCTACGAGCAGCCGGTGGCCGAGGAGGACGCGGCCGTGCAGATGGAGGATGACCCATCCAAGGAGAAAGAGGAATATTTCATATAGGGTCCATCTTCACGTCGCCTGAACCACCCGGAGTCTGATCTCTGGCAGCTTTTCTTTTTCTTTTTCTCTGTAATTTATTAATTAAGGCAGAGGAAGGTGAAGGCCAGGCATGCTGCTGCCTGCCTGCAGCTCCGCACCCCATCCCCTCCCTTGGGTGCCTTCAATACAACCCAGTGACAAACGCTCCAAGAATTGCTGTTGTTTTGCCTTATCTCGCCACACAATCGAGCGATTCTGCTCTGGGTTTAGCAGCAGGGTCATTAGCATGGCCGGCTCATTAGCATGGCTGATTGGGAGGCGAATCACAGAATGGTTGGGTTG